TATAATTAGTTAGTAGAGCTAATAAAAGTAGAAATCCCTTAGCAAATTTTATTTTGTAAAGCTTTTTCCATACAATATTAGATTAGGCATAAAGTCAAGAGACATGGGGCACACATCCAAGTGGACAAATAGCACTTGCGTTTTCGGTTCAGTTTTCTCAGGCCTTAATTTAAGCTACGTTACATTGTGCCATCTTCTTTCTATATATATAAAAACTAAGGTACAGATTGTTAAATCAATATAAATACAAAATTTTATGTACAAGTTTATGAATAAGACAATTTAATTGGTAGTCAATTGTTAATCCATTATTACTTTTTTAACAAAAAAATCATAATCAAAATATAAACTATCGAACTTTTTATTTATGATGTTTATTAAATTATCATTGACTGTTGAGTTTGAGATATGTATATCATACTTTTATTTATAATGTTTATTATATTATAAAAATTCAGTTTGAGATTTTGCAAATGCGTTTATAACTTAAATCCGTTGAGGACAATTGAGAAACATAGACATATATAAATATATAATAAAGAATAAAGATAGTTTGGGAAGATCATCAAGCTTCCGATCTTGCTAAGGAAAACAAGACAAAGTAGAGAAGATATCACAGACCCCACTTAGTGGTCTCGAGCAACAGAATTAATTCTAACATCCTAAAAACAATTTACNTAAACAATTTAAAGCTTTGTCTTTGCAACTAATGAATCACGCGTACCATCAGTCATAATAATTTAATTACAATTCAAAACCCTCTATATAGGTTAATTAATATGAACAATTGAGGTTTTCATTTGATCCAATATTATAGGACCATGTGAGCCTGGGACATGATAAATAAAACAATAGTTAGCTCGTGACTGGAGCTCACGAGTAGTAAACCCCATTTATTGAGATTAATATTACTTAAATCAGTTATTGAATTTCCATATAAACATGTTTAAGTTATCGCAGACCATCGACGCGTAATTCATCAGTTTAATATTTTTATCATTTGATACCGAGATTACATTGATTTATGATTTATACCATATGTAGTTACAGAGAATTTTTAATACTTACAAAAGGAACAGGGTTTACGTAAATATAAAGCTACCAATTAGAGTCTAATAAATATTTATAAAACTGAAAAGTATCCTTTATACATAAAGAAAGGGTTAGATCTTATCTCTCTCTCTTTCGACTTTCGCTACATGTTCGTTGTAATAATACATGTTTTATTTGTTTCACTCTAGTCGCAACTTATGGTATGTATGAAGGAGCTTGTACCTTAAAATATTTTTTAAGATTTTATTTTAAATATAATTATTTATATTTTTTATTTTACATTTTTTCTTAGTATGAATATAAAATTAAATATAAAAAATGAATAGTTATATATTACTGAACACTTCTCCGTATACAATATTTTTTATTTGATTTTATGGCGAGTCATTTTCACCACAAATTAAAATTTTCAAATCATTTTTGGTTATTGACTTGAGAAACTATGACATATAACTGATCATGATAAAAAATCGATTTCTTCATAAATAAGTCAACATGCGATAAGGATTGATCATGTCTCTCGTTTATAGTCATTGCGTAAGAAACCATAATAAGAAATTTTCTTCGTTGAAACATAAACGGTACTATTGCATCAAAAGGAGTTATTATCATCTGAGGTATCAACTCATTATCATCTGCGTGGTCACAAGTAAGTATCTTGCAATCGAGGACATGATTGGAGGGTTTGTTCACAACCAAATGTGTCCCGTTGTACAATACCATACAATGGTCCATGTTCTGTAACAACACGACTAAACTTCCTACCTTCGAATACAACTCATGGTTCGTTGTACCAAGACATTTGATAAAGTTCAGGAACTTAAGAGTGTGGAGTTTTGTTAAAAAGTCGTAATTCAAATCAGATTTACACGTACTGTCAGATCATAAAAAAAGACCTTCTGTCAAATTCAAGGGGCGGCATGTATTGAATGATAGATTCTACGATCTCCAATGTCTGTGATAGTATAGCCTTATTCTTCAAATAGCGTGGATCTTCAGTTGCATTCTTGTACATTAAATACGTGCTTTCAACATTTATAACAATTGGATCATGGAATGGTTCTAGTAACATATCATCTGGTATGTCAATCGAGGCACAACCATCATTTGACCCTTCTAAAGTACCATTCTATGCTCACGATCCTATCACCAAATTTAGCTAGCTAATCACGTTCATCCAAATAGAGTCAAGGCTTTGAAGACATATGTTATTTTTTATCCAAATAGAGTCAAGGCTCTAAAAATAAATCCCACACCGTCAGTATTGAAGAGATAACGTTGCATGTAAAGAATGTCGTCACATAAAAAATGTCAACACTTCTCCCATACATCCTATTAGGAACGCCATCGATATGCACATCCGTATCTAATGAATTAAATCCTAAAGCAACGGAATCTATAGTTAGGATTAGGACATTACCGTATAAAATTTTGCCGACTCTGAGACGTTGTAGATTTCCTCAGTAGAAGATTGTCTGAAAGGTAGAGTTCATGGGGCAGCCGAACTTGGCCTCCTCGGTTGATCAAGGGTCACTGGGATGTGGTTGGGTTGCATTCGGGTCACCGGGAGTCGATACGCGTCGGGCGCGGTCTGGGTGCGTGCGCGTCGGGCGTTGAGGGGTCACTATGTCTGGTGCATGTCGGGCGCTGCGTTGCTGGCTTGCGGGTTGCTTGGGAGTGCAGGGCTACTGTGCGATGGGCTCTAGCATGCGCAGGTCGCGTGCGTGAATTGGCGCGCGTCTGGTGGTTGCATCCGACGTGCGCGTAAAGTCGCCTGGGAGCTGGAAGGGCGTGGCGCGTGAACTTCACGGGCCTGGGAGGCACACGATGTTGCACGAACAGGGAGCAGGGCGTCGCGCGGCTATGGACACGGCATCGCTGGGAAGTGCCGGTGAATCACTCGAGCGCCTGGGAGTATGCGACTGCAGAAGATGACTCAAGGCGGCGTGCAGGCTAGGCGCAGGTTGGAGATATCGTCGGCGGCCGCATGCTATGGTGCAACTTGTGACTTGCCGAAATATATCTAATAATAATATATGTTCGGCGGAATGCTCGAAAAATATTGGACCCTAAGATCTTCTAATATATGACCTTATATTCCTACTTCGAATAACCTTGGTAGTGCGATTAAATGAAACTCCCGAACTCTCAAGATGTATAAAAATAAATTTTTAGTCTCCTTTAGGACTCAAAAAACCGGCCAACATACATGTGCAAGAGAGGTTGGGACATGGTGTATTTATAGACTACATTAGGGACCTTAAGGAGGTGCTAAATATGACTTTTCCAATTAGGGTTAAGAAACCCAATATCCTCCAACTCCCTTCCCTTCTAGAAACCCTAACCCCTTCCAACGTAATTACCCCTTCTAGAAGACTCTCATGTCTTCCATCCATGGTAATATTCTAGAAGAAATTACATACTTCTAATTAGGAAAATTCTAGAAGATAAATTAATTCATTTATCTCAATTGATTAAATAATAAAATATTCCACTACAATATTATTGCTCTCCCTATTTAGCTCCAATTTATTCAATAAATTTGAACCTTCTACTTAATTAATTAATATTAATTTAAATGATCGACTTACCATCCCTATGTTTAAAATATAACGTTCATTAATTAATTAAATTACTGACAATAAAATTAGTCAATTTCTTTTATCCCGCAGGATCCAGAATTAGTACCACTCAGTTCTTTAATCATTATGTTGGGAATTAATCAGCCTGCAGTGCTTAACATAATATTCATTCCTGATCTCATTTCTGGGACGTCATCAACCCAGCAGACCGGGACATAGTGACCGTAAATAATTGTAACAGCACATCATATAAACATCATCATTTACTAAAATACCGAGTATGTCATCATAATAAACTAGGAAACACCCTTGGTAAATCAAATAAATAACTAATGAGTATATATTTACTTGTTTGTTAGCGAGATAATTAAATTTACACGTTAACTAAAGTGTCTTCTTCCTCATCAAACGAAATTAATTGTAGGAATACAAATGGACTTCTTACGGGATGATATTTGGAGATTTTTGTTTTTCAGTTCGATATTCGAGGCTATTGCAACAGTTCGGTTCGCTCTAGTTTGGTTCGGAATTCTGCAGATTTATAATTATTTTTTAAAATTTATTGAAACTATCTACTTATTTTAATGATATGCTTTAAAAAAATCCAACATTCTTCAATACTTTACCATATTAAATATTTTATTTTGAAATCAAATTTAGAAGTAACTTAAATTTTAGTTAAG